AACATTATTGCCAAGACCGATGCTAACCCACATCATTACCTTCCATGGGATCTATTTTACATAAATTATTTCATCAAAGATCATTCAGGACTCTTTTTAATACGAAAATTTTGCTCTCTAAAAATCTAAAATCATTTTGAAAAGATTAAGATTCTCAGTTTTAACACAATATGTAGGAGAATGTATTAATCACAAAATTTAAAGTTTCTTCATGCTTCTTCTATGGAGATAATGAGCAGCAGCCAAGGAAACATGTTTACCCATTTAAAGATATGAAGGGTAGCATTATACATGATGCATACTGAATTAAAACAGGATCAGGAAAATAGATTTTAAACATGAAATTATGGAATGTTCAGTAGGTAACTGGCCTCTAAGAGTAAATTGATATTAACTTCTTAACAAGTTTCTAGTTTAGTCTTATAGGCCTAAATATCATGGAGGGGGCAATTGACTACAGAAACAGTTGTAGGCAAAGCTTGCTTCACAATTTGAATGGGCCAACAGTTCCAAGTTATAAAGTCCACATTGTTGTCAGGTATTTAGTAAGCTATGCATTTAAAGTTTTGAACTTGTCAACTGAATTGAATCTCGGCAAAATTCAGAGCTTTGACCATGGCCAACCAAGAAGAAAGAGACTAAGATGTATTCTTTAGATAGAACCGAGTACCAAAAGCATACTGTTATGTCAAGTATACCAGTAAGACAACCCAGAGAATAATTCCTCAAGACAGTGAAATAAAAACATATGTTCACATAAAGACAGGTACATAGAGGTTCGTAACAATTTTATTTCTTATTTATAATAACAAAACGTTAGAACTCAGATGTCCACCTATATGCAAGTGAATAAAAAATTGTTTTATAACTATGCAGTGGAATACTAACCAGTTGATAAAATGAACCATCAGTGCTTCAATTTAAGCATCTATTGAGTCTATATTTGGCAATGTTCCCAGTGCTACAAGGAACTGGGAACACACTGACACACAGACCAGATCAGACGGAAGCACAATTTTGCAGTGATACACAGCTGCTTCTGTCTGAGGGCTCAAAAGACCATCTAGGACAACTTCTCATACCTATAAAGGAGAGGGTAGTTCTGGCACAAACTGAGATAAGACAGTTGATTAATTCTTATGATCATCCCACTAGTGACTCTGTAAGACATCTTTGAGAATCAATTTTTTCAAGATATATTTACATATAATAAAATGTAACCATTTTAAGTATGTATTTTGATGAGTTATGAAAAATGTATGCACCCAAGTAACTACCACCACAATCAATATATAGAACACTTACAACATTGCAAGAAATTCCCTCATGTTCCTTTGCAGTCAGTCACCAGCTCCACCACCTGGCAACCACCAATGGGCTTCCTGTCACTATAGCTTCAGTTGTGTCTATTCTAGGATTTCATACAAATAGAATCATATAGCATGTGGTCATTTCTTTTTTTTTTTTCTTCACCCAATACAAGGTTTTTGAGATTCATCTATGTTGCTACATGTATTGATGGCTCATTTTATTGCCAGTTAGTATTCTACTGCAGAGTTATAAAAGAATTTGCTTATTTACTCACATATAGGTGGGCATCTGAGTTCTGATTTTTGGTTATTATAAATAATAAAACTGTTATGAACTTCTATCTATATGTTTTTATATGGACATGTTTTTATTTCTCTTGGGTAAATGCCTAGGAATAGACTTGTTGAGTCATATGTATGCAAGTTCAACTTTATAAACAACCGTCAAATTGTTTACCAAAGCAGTTCTATCATTTTTACATTTCCACTAGCAAAAATGAGAGCTCAAATTACTCTACATGTTTGCTAACACTTGGTATTGTCAGTTTTTTAAATTTTGGCCATTACTGAAAAGAAAAAGTGGAAACCAATATTTTAGAATGTTAACCACAGAGACATCTCAGTAGTAAGTATCTGCATACAATCCAAGAAGTCAGCCAGCAAATCCAATGAGAAACACTCAAATTCTACCTCACAGCTCCATGAATGAAGTGGAGAGGTTATTTCTCTCCTTATGTGCATGCAAGCTAAGTCGCTTCAGTCACGTCTGACTTACACAATTATAACATAACTCAAGGAAGAGTTTATTTACCCTGATCCAGCACCATTTTGGATTCCCCTAGAGGATACAACCCATCTGAAAAATAATAAGTCTCCTGATCACAGGAGCAGGCCTCCTGAGCAGGCCTCTCCTGCTCAGACTGCCAAACACAGAAAAAATTCACAAAGAGAAGCATTAGTAAAAGACATTCAATATACAAAACACCCATGCTTACATGCGTACGTTGGCAAGCTTTGAAAGCTTTGATGGTCTTCTCTTTAAAAAAAGAATATTACTCTTTATGCAGTATGAAATGTGGTTAAAAATTATTTGCAGATATTGCCTTAATTTGGACAAATTTTGCCTGTTCAACATGGAGAACTGGTTTTTATCAAACAAACCACAGGAGCTGAAGTCCTTGAAGGGCATAGGAGGTTCATTCTGATAGCAGGAAGGAACAGCTGTCATTCCAGCGCCCTGCTTCCACTGCAAAGTCTCCTAGCTAAGCTGAGATACAAAGACTAAACAGGACTGGACAGGAGATAAGGAGGAACTCAGAATCCAGCTCACCTTTCAAAGAAGCTGCCCTTCCTTCTGCCTGGAATGCTCCCCACACCCACACCACCCATTTTCAGAACCAACACGCTCTACTTTTTTCCTGCAGTTCTGGGTTCTCTCAAACAAGCCAAATCCTCCTAATACATGCTTTCAAATCATTATATTTTTCCTCTTTAACCTTTTCACAGTTAATGTTTATTTTGGTGAGTAAAATATTAATGACTAATGCTCCTTCCCCACTGAACAAGGTAAGCGTCATGAGCTTTTCTAACTGAACCCCTGCTCAGTATATAAAAATTCCTTAATAAAATTTTCATAATTAATTACTTGTTAATTAAAACAATGCTTTATCAGAGATGTATTGATAGGCCTCCATGCTTTGCATAAGATAGAAACTAAAGGTGGCTGCTTCTTTCTCAATTATAAGAAAATTCAAACTGCAAAAAAAACATGGTTGTCAAAGTTGCCTGGCCTTCTCCTGCCCCAGTTTCCATTAAACCCGCTGCTTCAGTGTCAGATCTGCTTTGTCAACCAATCCTCTCAAAATTCAAATCCATGAAAAGGATGAAGACTTTCAGAACTCAAGACTCTCCTACATTAGAATGCCACAGAAAAGCAAGTCTCATAGTTTCAGACTTTCAACCTGAAGGTCCTGGTAATTTATAAAGGAAATGCAGTTACCCAGTAAGTCCCCAGTTATTATTCGCTATGGCAGGGGAAATGGTCACAGTCTTTCACTAAAAGGAGGCTGTTAGAGGACCCAGGTAACATTACCGACTTCACGATCAGCAACAGGCTGACAATAGCATGTGCTTTAAAGGTAAACAAAACCATCCTCTTCAGACTTCCCTCGTGGTCCAGTGGTTAAGACTCCATACTTCCAATGCAGGGGGCACAGGTACAATCTGTGGTCAGGGAACCAGGATCCCACATGCCACCCTGGTGAGGCCAAAAACAAAAATGCCCTTTTTTCATCCACCTTTTCTGCAACTACCTGTCTTCAAGAAATCTCAAGGGAACGTTGAGAGAATTGAGCTTAAGAAAATTAGAATCATTATGCGTCCATGCTCATCCCATGTTCAGCTCAGCCCAAATATAAAACAAAACAAAATTTAAGTTAATGCCTTCTATTCACTATCAGTACAAGCAAAAACTCCAGAACTGAAATTTAAAGATGTGAAAATGCTTTTAAGACCTGAACCTCATTAACAAAATACTAGCAAGGTATAACGAGGGGCTACTGAAGTCTTGAGTCCCTATTGCATAGCAAGCACTGCCCAGCACACTAAAGGACTGCAAATATCTTCCAACCCATCGCCAATTTTATTAACCTAATCACTACTGGGGTTAAAGAAAGACCAATATTTCAGGGTCAGTCCTCATTCTAACCACTGAGAAGGCATTCTTACCAAACAGCTCTCTGTTTCCATTTCATTTTGAACTAAGGCACAGTCCTTCTGTTATCTTTACATCTTCTTTCTGGAAAAAAGCTATCTCTACCCTGAAATAAGTTCCGATAAAGAAATGATCAAAGACTTAATTCTTAAAAAAAAAAAAAGATAAAAATGGATCCAAAAATAAAGTTTTATTCCCAAGTCACAACTGGAGAAACTTAGGGAAAAAAAAAAGATGAATAAAGGCAAGCCTAATTTTTCCACTGCACAGTTATAAGAAATATCAGAAACATTAGAAATGTTTCAGGTCCTCAGATTAGCATCACCCACAGCTCCATAGAAAACTTATCCAAATTTTATCTCAAAAAACTTGGGATGAATCCACAGTTAAGTTCCACAGATCTCCTACAATCACAAACAGAAAGAAGGGGAAAAAAAAATCACACAAAATTCTAAGCTTAATGGAACAGATGCCTCTTCCTGACAAGGAACAGCTGTTGGGCAAAGCTGTGATTTATGAACCGAGTCTACTTTCTCACATTCCATACGGTGTAGATATTTATCTTGAGACCAACTATTACTGATTATTGGCAACTGTTGAGATAAAAAAAAGTCCGTGAAACTCAGGCTGCTGGTAGTAATAATTATCCAAATACAAGGAGGAGTTCTAAATCAAAAATCTCAAAAGGATAGCCCACTTTATGTCAAGGCCCTAGTGAAGGGAAAGTATGGACAAACAGATGCTCTTAATGAAATGGAAAACACATTAAAACTGCACTTCATTACCTCTCCATACAAGGCAACCGCCAAAGTCAAGATGTCATGAGTCTCTAAGGATCAAAGAAGACAAAGACAAACAGGAAGAGAGTGGAAGGGCAGCCATGTTCAAGCTTTGAACTGTAATCCTCCTGGACACTAGAATTAACTGCTTTAAAACAGAAGTCATTTTTAATAATATTCATATCCAGTTTTTATTACCTGACAGGCAGATGTAAGTTAAATATTCGCCTTGACCGCCAGTTGCCAAGAAAGGAATCTTTTTCTTTGTCCTCCTCTTGACCTGGACAGCTCCCAACATCCTTTCATCAAGAGGTGCAAAAATTTCCTTGCTGATCGCAGATTTGGCACTCATTGTCAACCAAGTAACCAGGGCACGCAGTGAGTTTTCTAGAGAAGAAAAAGAAAAGGGGGGTTGGAATTGGCAATATTGTAAAGAGACATACAAGAATGAGCAGTAGATTATGATCCAACAACCCCACTCCTATCCAGTAAAGACAGAAATTCCATTAACAATATAAATGGCCATCAACAGATGAATGGATAAAGATGATGTGGTATAGAAACGCAGTGGGATATTACTTAGCTATAAAAAATTAAATAATGCCATTTGCAGCAACATAGATGAAGCTAGAGGTTATCATACTCTGTGAAGTAAGTCAGAATGAGAAAGACAAGTAGCATATGATATCCCTTATATGTGGAATCCAAATAAAAAATGGTACAAGGGAACTTATTTATAAAACATACAGACTCACAGACATGGAAAACAAACCTATGGTTGCCAAAGAGGAAGGGGTAGTGAGGTATAAATCGAAAATTTGGGATGTACAGAAACATACTACTATATACAAAACAGATTAACAACAAGGGCCTACTACATAGCACAGGGAAGGGAACTATGTTTGATATATTATAATAACCTATAATGGAAAAGAATTTGAAAAAGAATATATATGTGTGTGTGTGTGTGTGTAACTAGGTCATTTCATTGTATACCTAAAACACTGGAAGTCAACTGCAATGAAAAAAAATGAGCAACAAGTTTACTTGCAGTTGAGATAATTTTCAATTTGTGGTTTAACCTCTCACTTGCTTGAAATGCATTATATTTCTATCATTAAAAGCAAGGCCTTCACATTTATAGTAACTGAAAAAAATCCAAACAAAAAAGAAATACAGGTTTACTTGCTGAAAATGACAAATTCAACACAAAGAGATGAACAGCACAAAATGGGATCTAGAAAGTGTGTCGGTCTCCACCCCAACTGCACCTGACTCAAACTAGCAGGTGGCACCCACCCCATTCCCATTCTACAAGGACCATGATTTCACCATTTTCAGTTGAGAAGTCTTTCCACTGTCAAGAAATCTTTACAGTCAAGAGGTTCACTTCGAAATCTCCTTGGACTCTAATATAAATCTATTTCCCTAATTCTATTCACACAGGAAATAATTATATCATCTTCCACATAATAACTATATATGCAACAGAAGACCATTAATTTAATCACCCTTCAGCTGCTTTGGATCAAGCTAAGTAATTAATCCTTATTTATTAGCCTCTTTCAATGGGTCCTATTTTCCAGGACTCCTCTGCCTCTCATTACCATGCTCTGGACCCTCGACAAATTCTCCAGTTTCCTTAAGCCAAAGCGGACACAGGCTTCTAAAAAAATATCTGACCAGTGCCAAGTGTTTTGAAAATGTTACCCAGCAGTTTCCACATGCTATGCTCCTGTGGTTAACTGGCACTGTGTGCCCAATAATTAAGAAAATAAAGCAGCATGTTGCTGACTCACAGTGGGTCCCCTCTCTCCCCAATCCCTCAAAGTTACACATACACAGTCCCCATGTTATATTTAGTCTTCCAAGCTGTATTCCCTAAAGGTCATAATTATTATGCTTATTTATGTCTATTACATTCAAGGTCAATCTGAATTTTAACTATATATCATCCAAAAAATCAACTGTAACTTGAATAAACAAGTCAATCTTTTCTATGCTATCATCCCAGTCTTCCTAGACGTCATCATCAATATCTTAATCAGTAATCAACATTTGTTCAACAAATGACAAATCAAAACTAAAGGTGCAGAGATGGCCAATGGGCTGCACAGAGTGTACATGCAGAGGTCATGCAGGCTGTACAGAGGGTGCAGAGATCCTGCAGAGGGATCAATCACACAGCTACGTATGGCAACAGCAGCTCAAAGAGCTGCTCAGAGGCTTGCCATTTCCTTCTCCAGGGGATCTTCCCAACCCAGGGATCAAGCCTGTATCTCCTGCATTGCAGGAGGATTCTTAACTGCTGAGCCACCGGGAAACAGCTGAATGTGCTAAGCAATATTATTGTATCAGTGCTAAATTTTGTGAATGAAATGATAGCATTTGGTTATATTGGTGATGTCCTTGTTCTTAGGAGATATATTATAAATTATTTTAGGGGTGAAGTGTCATGATGTCTTCAACTTAATATTAAGTGATTTAGCAAAATATTCATGTTCTAAAACTGTATCTATTGATACACACACATAAATGTGGAGTAAGAGAGAGGGAGAAGAAGAATGTGTGGCAAGATGTTGAAAACAGATGACTCTAGATGAATTTTACAAATGAGGCAATTGGTAAATAAATACTTATCACATGCCACCCCAATGCTCAGTATTAGAGATATAAGAAATAACTAAGCTAGGCTTCTGGTTCTCTAGGAGTTGACTACTGATTATATTAAAGATTTCCCTTAAATCCAAACGATTTATGATGGAAGACATGGAACATCCCTCCCAATGCAAGATTCACAAATGTTACCAACACAGCTGTCCATCTATAACTGGTCCACACCTGTAACTTTGTAGAAGGAAAGAAATATAGTTAAAAAAAGAAAAAAAAAGAACATTCCCCTGATTAAAGAAATTTCTCCTGCTTTCAATTCTTTATGTAGGTTTTCTCAGTGGCACCAAAAATAAAGAATAAAAAGTGTTGGTGTTTATTACTAAACAACAACAAAAAATCCTTCTATCCTTCAATACAGATCTGTGGCCAGGTCAATGTGCTCAGATCATGACATCTTATCATTGCCAGCAGGTTCTTCATCCTAGCTGAGTACAAAATGACAACACAATTTCTTGACATGCCAACCTCTAGCTGATATCCCATGATTTCCAAGAAGGTAGCAAGCAGAATTTCTCCCACTGTGATTTACCCTATGACTTTGCTAGGCAGGATATTACAATTTACAGGGATTTTTTTTTTTTTTTAACAGAGAGAAACTAGCTTTTTTCTAGCTCCAAGGTCTCTCACCTCTCAGCACTTGGGGATGCGGGCATAAGAAAGCCAATGGTAACACAGTGGCCTCAAACTTCTAAGAAGTTTGAAGAAAGTCATCTTCCGAAACTCATCAGGCATTCTCTGATCAGCACCTTACCAGCAGTGGCAAGGCTTCTGCTTTTCCAACTCAGATTCATACTTTCCTAAAATTGTGGTTAAAAGAAATAGAAACCTATCATTTTATTATGCAAAATAAGTCAAGAGAAAAAAGAAAAGAAAGAAAAGCAATATTCACCTGTTAACAAACTCATAGGAAATCCTGCTCATCTTTTGAAAAATAGGTAAGAAATGGAAATGACCTTGTGTTGCTTTTTCATATGGATATTCAGTGGCCAAGAACAAAAGGGAGGAAAAAAAAAAAGAGGAAAAATAGAACCAGTAACTTCAATGAGCACAAGTTTTGGAATCAAACAAACTTGGGTTCAAATTTTATTTCCAAAACTGAAGACCTATATGTGGATAAATCTCTTAAAATTCCAGATTCTCAGTTTACTCACGTGGGAAGATCTTCACCTAATTCATGGAAGGGCTAAAATAATTAGATGAAACAATGTGTGCAAATCACTTATTCTGGTGCCTGAATCACAATGAATACTTAAAATGGAATTTTTAAATTAATGCTCTAAGATAAGAAAAACAGAAGACACTCTTGCAGAAACTGACTAAATGTAGCCTTCCATTTGGAAACTGTCTAAAATTTTTGTTCAGGACAAGGACATGAACACACCTGTGAGCACATGTGTATGTTTTTGATGCTACTCTGGAAAGGGAAATTGACAGTGGATTAGAAGACAATGAATCAGAAAGTAAAAGGGACACTAATGTAGCTTCATAGAAATAATCTAGGAGTGTCTCCCAAACCTGACTGCACATCTGAACTTGGCAAGGAGAGCTTTCCAAAAATGCAGACCCTTGGGCCCCTCCTTTACCCCCACCAAATCACAATTGGCATCTGTAGTTTTAATCAACTCTCTAACTGGTTTTCCGGCAGCCATCCTGACACCTAATTAGGTGAAAAACTGAGAGTCTAAGGAGGAACTGTGGGGCTGGAAGAGTGAATTCTCAGGAGAACAGGAAGAGGATGCAGAGGACTTCTTTTCTCCATTCAGCCAAGCAGATTTCTCAGGTCTTAGATCTTCCTGTTGGTAAATCAATGCCCTGCCCACGGCTGGACCCCTTTGTAAGAAAATCAAGATGAATACACAGCAGTGGCATACCTCTGACCAGCGTCACTCCAATCTGCATGACCCTGAAGGGGGATAGGATACGCCACCCGGAAATATGCCGCTTTAGTTTATTGATTGTTTTGAGCCAAAAGCATCAGAATAAACAGCAAATGTGGGGAGAGGCTTCCTCTGAATTCCCTTTATCTGTCTAAAGACAAATCCTCCAAAGGAGCTCAGTTGTCATAAGTTCCCTCTCCAGGAGTTTCATCCACGCGGAAAGACTGACTCTTGTCACAGGAAAGGCAACTAGAAGTCCACACACACTTAGACATACTTTGTCACCAACTGTCATACCTACCATAGAGTCCTGTAAGGGCCTTTTACTTTTCCTAAAAATCATTTTCTCCCCCCTAAGAGGGTCTATATCCCCTCCCTCTTCCCTACCAAGATGGTATGTGATCCTACATTCTAAGCTGTCTCGGGAATTACTCATGTCTCCAGGGTATCTCCCAGGTACATACCAGGTATACATGTTCATAAACTTCTGATGGTTTTCTCTTGTTAATCTTTTATTACAGGGGTCTCAGCTAAGAATAAAAAATCTGCCTGCAATGCGGGAGACCTAGGTTTGATCCCTGGGTCGGGAAGTTCCCCTGGAGAAGGGAATGGCTACCTACTCCAGTACTCTGGCCTGGAGAATTCCACAGACAGAAGAGCCCATGGGTTCTTCAGGCTCCAGTCCATGGGTTGCAAAGAGTCGGACACGACTGAACAACTTCTGCTTAGCTAGCAGCTAAGAATGCAGAAGAGTAAAATTATTTTTCTTCCCCTACAACCCATGAAAGTTCTCTCTCTTCCTGGTCCACAGCTTCTATAGGCTATAATTACAAAGCT